GACCAAAGAATCAAGAGATGAGGAGTTGCTGCGAATAGGAAAGCTGAACCTCGTTGATCTAGCCGGGAGCAGTAACATAGGAAGGTCTGGTGCTGTCGAAAAACGCGCTAGAAAAGCAGGCGCGATAAACCAAAGCCTTCTCACTTTGGGTAGGGTTATCACAGCTCTTGTTGACCGTAATCAACACATTCCTAATCGTGAGAGCAAACTAACGCGGCTTCTTCATGTATGTGTTGGAATAGACTGACTTCATCTGTGTCGTTATCACACTTAACTCCTTTTTTTAGGATTCTCTTGGTGGTCGAACTAAAACTTCGATAATAGCGACTATTAGTCCCAGTAATTTGTGTCTAGACGAAACTTTATCCACTTTGGATTATGCTCATCGTGCAAAAAATATACAAAATAGGCCCGAAGTCAACACCCGCTTAAGCAGGAAGGAAATGGTGCGGAGCTACAATGAGGAGCTTGAGCGTCTTCGTCTGGACTTAGATGCTACCAGAACAAAAACTGGTATCTTTATAGACGAACAACATTTTAATTTGATGCAAAATCAGCTCACGCATTAGGTATACTGAGCTCTTCGTTATATGGTTTTGTTTCTTTATTTTGCTTAATGCATCCTATTTTAGCGATTTGGAGATGCGAGGCGAGGTTTTAGAGGAGGATTTGGCTGTGATAAATCTGTTGTACTAAGACTCTCAGATATAAACTGATGAGCTCCGTTTTCTTAAGGAGGCTATTGAAGTGAAAAATTCCATGCTCCAAACACAATTTGTAAGCTACCTCATCTTAAACTCTCATTCAAAAGATGAGTTTCATTTACATGCTAGTAGTTCCGTACCGTTTATTTGATTCTTCCAAATCTTTTTAACTTTTTAAATCTCGAAAATATTTATGTGTAATGTAAATCGTGTTTGTTTCACTATAGCCTTTTCATAAGTTATTCTTCCGAAGCCTTCATTTACAGAGTTGGTAGGGCGCCTCGGAGGTGGAAATGCGACGCAGGCGGTAGGTCGGCCCGCACCGCCGACGCCGGCCTCGGAGGCGTGGCCTAACGTCATGGACTCGTAGAACTGCAGAGTCTCGATGTAAGTCAAGCAGGCTATCGCAGCGGACGGAGCTCGGCGCAGGTAGAGGAGACATGCCCAGCTATTCCATGCGATAGGGGGATTTTGGCTTGTTTTGGGCCCCTAACGCGGTCGCGTCGGGGTCGACATGTGCTGACTGAGTGGGGCTCTTCTGTCCTTGGAGCTGAGGACACCGGCGTCCTGGAGCCCGGGGCCCATTTAGCCGGCCGAGGCTTCCCAGAGCGTCAGACACTTCTGCATGGAGAGTGGAAAAGGTGGATTAGACCAGGCTGCCGGACGAGCAGAGCTTCCAGGCGAAAAGGAGACCTTCCGTCTGCCGGGCCTGGCCCGACTGGTTGGTGTATGAATATATGATAAATAATGGATGATGGATGAATGGATGCAGCAGCAGCAGCAATTTATGCAGTATTTGCATTCCGGATACGCGCCTCAGGTGGCCACGTACCAGTTAGCGATGAAGGGAGAGGAGGAGGAGGAGAACACCGAGAACCAGTCTAAGCTGGAGGATCTTCTGTCTCGTCACCAGAACTCAGAGCAGGCCGTGTACTACGACCCATCCGTCTGGCTGTCGACTAGGAGGGGCTCTTCTGTCCTTGAAGCCGCCGACGGACAAACCGGCGTCCTGGAGCCCGGCGCCAATTTCACCGACCGAGGCTTCCCAGAGCGGCGAACTCGTCTGCATGGAAATTTTAGAGCAGGTGGACGAGCCCATTCTGCCGTACGAGCAGAGCTCCTGAGCGGAGAGGAGACCGTCCGTCTGCCGGGCCTGGCGCGACTGGTTGAGGGATGAATGAATGGATGGATGCAGCAGCAGCAGTATTTGCATCCAGCCTACGCGCCTCAGGTGGCTACGTACCAGTTGGCGATGAATGAAGAGGAGGAGGAGAACACTTAGAACCAGTCCGAGCTGGAGGCTCTTCTGCGTCGCCAGGACTCGAAGAAAGCCGTCTGCTACGACCCGTCCGTTTGGTTGTCGACTGGGTGGAGCCCCCTGGCGTCATGGAGCTAGGAGCCCATTACGCCGGCCGAAACTTCCCAAAGCGGCGGACTCGTCTGCATGGAGAATCTAGAGCAGGTGAACGAGCTCATTCTGCCGTACGAGCAGAGCTTCTGGGCGGAGAGGAGACCGTCCGTCTCCTGGGCCTGGCCCGACTGGTTGACGGATGAATGAATGGATGGATGCAGCAGCAGCAGCAATTGCTGCAGTATGTGCATCCCACCTACGCGCCTCATGTGGCCCCGTACCAGTTGACGTTGAAGGGAGAGGAGGAGGAGGAGAAGACCGAGACCAAATCCGAGGTGGAGGATCTTCTGCCTCCTCACCAGGACTCGGAGGAGGCCGTGTAC